AAGCCAGGAACGGTTGCTGTTCTCCACTCAGCCGGATTATACAAGGGGACTGACTGGCCCGTTCCGGCGTCTCTCAGGAGCTGCCAAGGTAATTGGCGATGTCTAATTGTTCCATTTCGATAATGAGCATTTGGCTTGCTCAAGAAGCAGCTGACGGAAGCAGCACTTAAGTTGCTATTTTCGGGGCACCGGCTCCAGGTTAGGCGAAGGTGGCCAGAACAGGCCTTCATTTGGATACAGAAAACAGCAGCATTTCTTCTCAAGCACAGAAGTTTGCAAACTTTTTCCAGTGGGCCTCTCCAAGACAGGGGAATATTGAAGCTTACCCAAATAGAAGGCAGGCAAGCAGAAGTAGGACCACCAACCAGACATGCTGAGTTCTGGGGGTGCTTTGTTCTCAGCCTCCCCCCTCCGCCCTTCCCATTTTTCAGAGACACTGTAGATTCTGCAAGTGACCCCATAAAGTCACAAAACTTCACTAAGGTTGCTTCTAGACTAGCTGCTTATTCTCAGTTACAACGGAGACGCCAGCCAGTTCCATCCAACACTTTTTTGTGGCCCTTCTGTCTTCTACGGATTTGGGAGCATTCCCCACCCACACCGCCCCTGAAAACATCACTGCCATACTGGTCCGTCAGTGGGGATTGCCAATACTGAAGCTTTTTGGGGCCACTGTCTTTAATGCAAAGCTTCTGCTGTGTGATTCCCTTGCATCGCTTCCTGTTCAGTGTGGCAATGGCAGCTGATGAGACAGCCTCTAATGTGCAGCTGAATCACTCTGTTCCTGTTCCCTGGGGTAGGATGGCCTTTGGTTACCGACTCCCTTTCCTCTAGTTTTTCTCATTTTTCCGTGAAATAACTCTTGTGCAATATAAATAATTCTATTTATATGCAAAACAATTGAAAAGCAAATGCTTCGGTTGGTACATAGGAAGTAGGGGCAAAGTGGGCAGCAGAGCCCCTGTTAAGTTTGCATATCATTCCTTTATTTCCATTTTTAACTGACCTTTCCTCTAAGCAGTTCAAGGTGGCATATAAGTGTCTTCCCCTTTCCTCACTCCCCATTTTCCCTCACAACAGCCTTGCAAGGTAGTTAGGCTTAGAGACAGTGACTGGCCCAAGGTACCCGGCAGGGTTCAAGACTGAGCATCTGGGCTGGAGCTGGACTTTCTTTGCTGGGGGAAGCGCTCGCCAAAGTCGTGCATAAGCACATCCGTCTTTCCCTTTTTGATTAAAAGGGGAATTTACATATTTTGAAATCAGCTGTTTCTCACGTGCCGCCTGGGTACCTCAACACATGAAATGGGAGCACTTAGAGTCACTGGCAAAAACGGGCAAACATGGCCCGGATCTTCCTTAAGGGACGCGGTGCAGATTTCGGTTCTCACGTGCCTGCAATTCCGTTCAGGAGCCCATCTTGTCCCAGTACTTGAAGCAACCTGGCCACTTTTCCAGCTGCTTTTTTCTTCTGTACACAACAGGAAGCCAGACAGAAATGCCCTTTGTAAGAGCCGCAGAGATGGGTTAGCCAAAAGGCCAGCCCTGGAGGGACTGCGCTCCTTTTCCTGGACTCTCGCAGGGCTTGAGGAATGTCCAAAACAAGCCTGCTTGGTGCGTCAGGCCAGTTCAGCATCTTGGGCTAGAAAATTAGAACGATGCTTTTGCTGGCATGCTTCTAAAACCCAGAGACAGGGACCTCTGTGTGCCTGCTGGGTGAGCTGTATTTTCGGTGGCTGGCTCATAGCAGGACAAATATCCGGAGGAAGCACAAAAACAGCCCAAGAGAAGGTGTATTTTGTGTATTGATTTATGCATTTGGTTCATTAGTTGTCCTATAACGAACTGTGACTTTGGAGGCTTACAGAAATAGCAGCTGCGTCATGTCACCCTCTACAAATGCACAAAGGCCAGGTTTGCGCAACCTGGCCACATCCTCCGATTGCTCCAGAGCTTTGTATTCAAAATGGCGGCTGCACACACCCCAAACAACCCCCAAACTCCAGGTGCCAAGACATAGGACTAAAAGACATTGTCTGGGCTCTCACAACCCATGGTTTGTTGTTGGTTTGAGAACTGTGGGATGTGCACCATGCTTTATTATCTAGGCTGGCTTCAGACAACACAAAAACCCACGTTTCCACCCACAGCTGTGGCTTTCCACATCACGGAGGGCTTCCCGCTTCCCCCGGATTTTCTTTGCAGCATGAGTCTCGTGGTCGGGCGTTTTATCTGCGAATCGTCAAGCAGAGCGCAGCAAAGAGAACAAACTCTGCCAGCAGTCATCAGAGCGGCGACTCCCGGACCCGCTGTTCCTGCAACGGCCTGCGGCAGGTCCTGGAATTCTGCCCCACTGCAGGAGCGTAAACATTCCTGAGAGGACCAAGGAGAGATCGGGAGGCGGTGGCGTTGCCTGCAGAGGGTGGCTGCTCCTTCCACACCAAGAAGGTTGCACAAGAAAGAGAGAGAGAGAGAGAGAGAGTTGCACTTGTGCAGCTGAGAAGAATCAATCCCTGCCCCCCCCCAGTCCAAACACAGCTGCACACTTTTTTGGATCTGAAGAGAATTCGAAAACAGCACCCCCAGTAGTGCGAAATAGTGCAGGGCAGCCACACGTGTGAAGAGGCCGCACAGGAGTGGGGACAGGTGCGCCAGGCGGGGGACGGACAGGGAAGGAGTGGGAGAACCAGGCGGGGCGAGCGCTTTCGTCTGCCGTGCGCGCAGCCGGTCACCACCGCCTTTCCACATGTGCACACGCAGCTGGGATTAGGTCTCCGGCCTCCCACGCTGAGCGGCGGTCTGACGAGCGATGCGCCGCTGGATCGTGTTCTCTTGCGATGTGCGGAATCGGGCTTAATTGGTGCTCAGGGCTCCGGAGCACGTCTCCCCGCAGCCAAGGAGCGGGCTGCTGGTTCAGCCCCATTAAGCAGCCATTAGACAATGTTCCGCGGGGGACAGCGATATCGGCCCTTGGGGAATTTGCCGTTCCCCCATAAATATGGGATCATCTGGTGCCCACGGAGCGGTGGGAGAGAGGAACTCTTTGTCCCAGGTACTCCGACTGGGGGAGAGTTTGCTAGCGAGAGGCACAGGGGCCCGATCCCTGCAGCTGCTTGTCGTTGGAGCATATTCTTCCTTAATTGCATTTCCTGATGTTCTTTCAAAACACCCCTAATGAGCGCATGCATAGGGAGCGCATGGATCTGGGACAGGCGCCACAGGGCTGGATCTGAGCCACAAGGCCCTGGGAAATGAAGGCCTTCCAGTAACGCCGCTTTCCCTTCCATGGCTCGGAGGCTGCTTTGGCAGGGGGCCCTCTGCCTGGTGCCCTGCAGATGGGTTGTATTGCAGGGCCCATCATCCTCAGCCAGCTTGGTCAATAGCCGTTGGTTGCCCAGGGAGGGGTGACCCAGCCCTCGTCAGGAATGAAGCAGGGCAAAATTCCCATGCGCAGCAACAGTCGGGGAACTCCTGTGCCTGGCCATGAGGTTAGCGCATGGCACACAAGACCCCATCTGCCCTTCGGGGAGGAACCGTGGCTCAGTGGCAGAGCCCCTGTTCTGCATGCCGACGGGACCAGCTTCCACTCCTGGCATCGCCCGGGAGGGCAAGAAAAGGGACCTGCCTAAAACCTGGAGACCCACGGCTGCCCGCCAGTGTCAGCAACACTGGCTTAGATGGACTCTCCAGGGAGCCCTTTCCTGTGCTCCCAGCAGTGCTGCTGGCTGGGCACAGCGGTAGTTGCAGCCTGGAGGGCCCCGGGTTGGGGAAGGGTGGCTGATGCCGTGGCATTGCCCCCCCTTTCATGTGTGACCCAAACACCTGTCCAGGAGCCATCCCTTTGCACCTGAGACTCGGGGCTCAGGAGAGCGGGGTGGTCCTGCATTGCAACCCCCCCCCTCTCAAACACTCCAGCTTATTGTGTGCATATGGATCACACGATGGTGCAGAAAGAATTCTTTGCACAAATGCATCGAGATTCTTCCCATCCCGCTGATTTAATTCAGGCTCTGGGGCTGGAATGCTGACAGCCATTTTGAGTTGCTTTGTCCACTGCCCAGGCAGGTAAACACACAAGAAGAGAGGGACAGCTTCAAACGCTTCCCTAAATCATAGCAGATAAGTCTTTGCTGGCCTTGTTCTGCAAAAGTGTGTGTCTTTCGGCCTTTCTTTTGAGCTCGGGGTATTCTTTGGTGAGACCGTGTGGTGGCCTTGACACATTTCTCACTCTCTTTTTTATGTCACGAAGCAAAAGGCCTTTTCCTTTGTGAGAGCTGGGCTTGCATAAAAAAATATATATACAGTGCAGTCCACCCCCAGAATATCAGAGCTGGGCTTTGGCATGGGGCAGCCCTTATCTCTGCAAAGGTCGAAAGCTCACTCCGGAGCTTGATCTGATGGGAATATTGAACAAGAGGCGAAAAACAACCGCTGTAGAAGCACTTGGGGTTCCCGGGACTCCAGGCAGTGGCCGTGTGGGCGGCCTGGTGTTCCTGAGCCGGGGAGAATCCCACGTACACATCAGAAAGGTACATGAAGTCCATGGGAACCGGAGAAGAAGCCACGAGTAGAGCAACCCACTTCGCTGAGCTAGCAGGGAGATCAGGTGGATGGAAAGGACCTGGGGAAGGAAGGGGCCAGCTGTGCGATGAGGGCGAATTCAAAGCTGCTCCATTATGCACGGCCGGGCAGAGGGTGCCAGGCGCATGCAGGAGTTTGCAAGGGAACCGTGTGTTTTCCGCAAGTCTCAACTTTCGTTCTTCCGCTTCTGCTTTTAGGCAGAGTCTATAATCCTCTCTCCACCCTGCACCTTTGCTGGGCCACCTGCTTCTCCTCTGCCCCGAGCCACGGAGGGGGCCGGGCTGCTCCCCCTCCGCGTCTGCGTGCCGAGCATGCAAGGGGGAGACCTGGTCAGAACAAGGATGCGGAGCCGGGCGGCTGGTGGCCGCGGTGGCGAGAAGGCCAACTGCCCGAGGGAGGGAGGCCCGTGGAGTGTGTCTTGCCCCCACGTCCTTCAGAACGTGGAACTGGCTCAGGGCCTTCTTGTACTCCTGGCGAGGAACATTGCAAAGCTGGCAGCAACGGGGAAAACGCTGAAGTGGAACGAGAAGATGTTCTTACTCAGGATAGACCTGGAGGGACCTCCTGTGCTCCTCCTCCTGCTCTGTCACAGAGGTTTGAACTGGATTGACACGAGAATCCCAAACCCCTTTTCCAGATGTCGGAGGCATCGCCAGCCGGCAGCCTCCATCTCCCCAGCGGCTGCCGCTAGAAGAGAGTGCCAAGAATGGAAATGCAGCTTCCCCAGAGAAGCTCGTCCTCCGATCGCCACCTGTCCCACGGAGGAGGCCTGGAGGAAGGCTCAGCCGTCGCTGCGAGTCCCCGGGTGCACCCCGAGCGGGTGGCGAGGGCGCGGGTGGCAGGGCGGGAGCCCGAGAGCTTTGCCCGCAGGCCTTGCTGGGGAGCCCCGGCTTGGGGACGCTCCGGACTGAGCTCCGCCAAAGTCCAAGAGCGCCGCTGCCAGCCCAAAAGCCAGCTCGGGACACAAGCCGCCCTTCCTGAGGTCTGCCCAAGAGCAGAGGGAGTGCGTGCTGGTAAAGCCTGGTTTGCACAACGCGAGAGCAAGTATGGCTTGCACTGAGTCCAGGTTGCCGCTGAATCCGGCACTGTCGTTATGCGCAGACCCTGCAGACGAGTTTAACTCTGGGTTGTCAGCCACAGACGACCCAGGAGGAGAACTCAAGGTTTGTTGGTAGGTTGTCAGCACGGACTTTTTGTGGGTGGCACACAACGGACTCTCAGCCCAACCTCCCTCACAGGTTGCTGTACAGGTAAAATAGAGAGAAGGCCTGTGTAAACTTTCTCGAGTTCCTCACAGAAAAAGGGCAGGATATAAATATACCAATTCAACAACAACCCAACACAACGCAGCCCTTACTCTGAGTTGTCATTCCATGGGAGCGAGGTCACGGGCACCTTGGAGAGAGCAGAGCACCGGTGCAGAACCAGTGTTTGTGTGCAAAACTCAAGGTTTGACCTGCGGTGTTTCCAGTTTCAAAAGTCAGGGAACCGGCGATGCGAGAGCCTTTGTGTGGCTGAACCCTCACCCAGCCCGCAGGTGTGCTTGGTTGTTCACCCGTGCAATGGCTCCCGCGCACCTGTGCCTGAATCCCGAGGGGCAGCGCCATGCCGGGGGTGTCGCCGGCTTCACGTGGTGTTCGCCACCGCGTATTCCAAAGCTGCGATAGCACACCTTGGAAGGAGGGGTCGCACCGTCCAGTGGGGGTCCCCCTGCTTTTCGCGCTCCTGCCCCGGGTGTGCAGCGGCCCTGTGGAGATCGCTGGAAGGGGCCTGCCCCTTTGGCCTCGGGGAGGGGGGGGAGTGCTTTGTGACTTGCAGCTTCCCAAGTAGAGAGGGCTGGGTTAGTAGGCTTTGCCGATGGCCTTGCTTGAATTTCTGCCGTTGCAGCAGGGGAAATTAGGCTAGGCAGAAGACAGGTTTTGTTCCCTGTCTTGTTCCCTGCTTTCTCAACCCATATATTTGCAAACAGGCGTCAAAGATAGCCGGTCTCCCCACATGGGAACGGACTTCCTCCTTCTCCAAGACTGAGCTGTGGCCTAGTCTCAGCTGTTTTCGCAGACATTTGGGATGAGGTCTCTTCCCCCCTCCCTGCCAGCTCTACCCGCCTGCTTCTTTCCACTTGGCAGTCTTTAATTGAAGTGTAACTGCTGTGAAATAGCAGAGGGAGGAAATAGATGCACTAATTGCTTCTGAGCGAGAGCAGGAGAGAGGAAATGGGTGCAGCTTGCGATCAATACGAGCCGGTCCTGACAGAGACGAAGAGGCAGCCCGCCGCCTCGCTGGAAGGACGCTTTCCTCACACGATCGCTCACTTGCTTAAAAGAAAAGCAAAAGCTGGCATCTCCTGCCGAAAATTTATTTCTGTTCCGGTGGGCCCTGTGACGCTTTGCCGGAGGAGGAGGGAGCGGAGAGCAGGGCTTGTGCGTTGCAGCTGGGCCTCACGGCTCTCGAGATGGGGGGACACGTGTGGCTGGCATCAGGGCCGAGCACAGCTTGGCAGCTGCCGCGGAGCAAGAGCAGCTGCTGACGACGGGAGCAAAGAGGCGGGCGCACCCAGGGGGGGCTGGGAGGGGGCCTGGCTCTGGGGCCCCCAAAACCGTGGGCCCCCACCTGGCCACAGCACTCAGCTTCCTCCCTGGTGTCTCTCGAAGCCACGTCTCCGAGCAGAAGCGGGAGGGAAGCATCTGGCCTGCAAATGCAGGTTGTGGACACTGCCTGGGCCAGCCGGCCCTTGCGCACCCGGCGGAGCTGAGGGGAATTCTGAACTCAGGCCCACGCCTGGGCTGCTTGTGCTTCCAAGCTGCTCTGTCACCCGAAGCACCCCCACGCCCTCCGCTTCTCAGCCAGGGGCCGCAGGGCTGGAGAGCACATGGCGTTCCTCTGAAGGATCCCGGCCCAGCCTGCGACATCTAGCCAGGGCCGGAAGGCTGCTTGCTGCGATGCGCAATGCGCAAGATGGTGGGTGGGAACCGGCCGTGTTCTTCCGAATTTGCACCAAAGGGGCTCTGCCCCGTGAGCGACCGACCGCCGCCTGCCCTCGCTTTCGCCAAGGGCTCCTAGGAGAAAGATCCCATGATGTAACTTCCCCTAAGCATTTCGGAGGGAACGGCACCGCCAGGGGTACAGCCGGCATTAGCTTTCTCCTAGCATGCTTAACGCCGCACACACATTTTCCAGCCTCCTGGCCAAATGACCGCAAAAGCCAAGGTGCTGGCTGCCTCTGAGGGATGCATTTGCTGGAAAGAGGGCTTCATCGCCGCCTATTAGCAAAGTGTTTCCGACAGGAAAGTCAGTCGGATACTGGGGCAGGTTTCTTAATGAGCGCGTTTGTTGTAGAATCTTTCAAAGGGGAGCTTATGTAAGATGGCGCGAAGGACGCGGTCTCTCTCCGTCTCCCCTCTTCGTTACTCAAAATAGAACCAGGTCACTCCTGGGCTGCTTCCAAACTGGGCTTCTGCTGTCCCATGACACAGAGAGCTGTCTTGCCGCAGAAGCCCTGCCAGGGTGAAATTTAACCCAAGCAGCTGAGAAGCGTTGGAAGAGTAAAGATGAGGTTGTTCCCGAGAGCCTTGCTGGGTGAAATGAATGGCCGGGCTGCCTCCAGCATTCCTGCAGGGGCCAAGAGAATTCCGTCGGGAAGCCCATGGGCAGAGCTCAACAGCACCGCTTCGCCTGTGTTCCACCACAACTGGCATCTGTCCCTTGATCCTGGAGATAATAGATAGCCTTCAGGACTAGCAGCATGAATAGGCTTTCCTCTATGATTCTGTCTATTTCCCTTTTAAAGCTGGCCAACCTGGTGGCTCATCACTACATCTTGGGAAGTGTTCTGTTGTTCAGCTAGGCATGAGTCGAACTTCCTTTCGTCTGTTCTTGATCTTCCACCATTCAGGGGAAGAAATGCGAGAGAGGGGAAACACCTCTGAAGAATTCGCATTATGTGAGAGAGGGGAAACATCTCTCCCTCCACTTTCCTGGGCACGCCTGGTTTCGTACACCTCTCTTGCCTCCCCCTCCTCACATAACTTTTCCTCTTCGCAAAGTTGTTCCCGTGCCTTGAACAGTTTTAGCAATTCTGTGCTAAAAACGGCATCTGTGCCTTTTAAGATCCTTGGGGCTGCCGTTGGCAGTTTTCCTTGGCTCTTTTATTCTATTTCAAACCAAGTTCTCACATAATATTTTACTATGTCATTCTATTTTATGTTTTATGAGCTGCCAAGGGAGCTTTGGTTAATGGAGTGCACAGAAATAAATACAAAAATATCATCTGGGTTGCCCTTTATGGGGCTCCTTAGGAGTCACCCTGCGACCTGCTCGGAGGGCCTCTGCCAGCGGTGCCGTGCTGGGGTCCACAGGCCTGAGATGGGTCAGCTTTTAGGAGGAGGCCGGAGCGATGCTCAGAAGCCAGGCAAACCCCAAAGACTCTGTGGGCGGGGCCTCAGGAAGGAGGCGTGGCCTTTGGGGAACTCCAGGGCCCACGTGGAGCCTCCAGGAGGGCTGGATCTGGCCCACATGGCTGAGGTTCCACACCCGTGGCCATTTTCCAGGCATGTGTGCCGTTGTCTTGTGTTGTGGTGCACTTAAAAAGCTGCCAACCCCCCCGCCAAGTCAAGCCACGAGTTCCCGGATGCCGGCATTCCCTACTCGGGCTGGCAGCCGCTCTGCCAGGTCTGAGGCAGGCCAGTGCCTTTCCGATCCCCTGCTCCGTGCTCCCGCTTTTCCCTTCCTTCCCCCACCCCAAACTGGAAGCGCTGGCATGGCTTTTGCATGCGCAAGTCGCTGTGGCCATTCTGAAGAGGCGCCTCTCTCTCTGAGCCGGCACCTTGGTCTACTGTTGCAACGAGAAATCAGACTCCGTTCACTTTTCTATTCTGGTTTTGCAGGATTGGAACCCTCAATCCTTAAAGCCTCCATTTCCAGCATGGGTCCTGCAGTAGCCGAAGTGGAGGTTCCCTGGCAGTCTGCCACCCGTGCCCGGGGCATGTGCAGTGTGCAGATGAGGCTGCCTGTGCTAATCTCTCATGCTCAGAATTCCCCTGCTCTCCTGGATGGGCAGCTGCTTTTGAGAAAAGCAGAGAAACTCTCCCCTCCGTCAGTCTTCTTGGATTTTCTTCAACGTGAGGCATTTGTGCTCAGTTCTTAAACTTACATTTATTACCAGGGCAAATTCCTGCGTGCCGGAGCTGGGGTGAACGAGGCCACTGCGAGAGTGCGAGGCCAGGGTCATTTTCGGACTGGATCTTCTCGCCCTGAGACGTGGAGCATGGTGCCCTGAGAGAGGGTGCGAGGGCAACGCAGGAGCAGACTTTGGGACCACAACAGCTCGGGGGGCGCCGCGTGGACCTCGCTGCTAGTCCCCAGTTCAACCCGAGGCCCTCCGGGACACGGTTCTGCTTACACAATTGGGGGGGGGGGGCTTGCTCACCACCTTTCCCAATCAGCTGCCGTCCAGAGATGTGGGCCGAGGACTCCTCTCTTCCCCGCCCAGCATGATGGGAATTGTAGTGCAATGCCTCTGGAGGGCAACAGGTCAAGGAAGCCTGTGCTCGATCATTTGCCTCCTGCCAAATGTACATTAAAAAAATCCTCAAAGGCAGAATCCAATCCATTTTTAGACTGGAAAAAATGACCCACAAGGGTTACTTTGGGCCAGTCAGGGGCGCTCAGCCTAGCCAACCTCACAGGGTTGTTGTTGTGGGGACAAAATGGAGAGGAAGAGGTATAAAAGGGAAAAAGGCCTACACAACAATAACAAAAATAAACACAAAAGGTGCCTCTGAGGACAAAGTGTGTGTCATGACAAATGTGCTCTCGGTTGGTTTTCCTAAATACTCTGCCTCCAGTGTGGCGTTCACTGGCCTTTCCTCCGGCATCGCTCCTTCCGCCCAAGCTCACCAGAGGAGTTCGTTTCTTCTACTCCTGCAGGAAGAAAAGCAAAACCAGAGCATTTCCCAGCAATTTTGTACTCTTTGGACCTACAGGAAGGTCTTTCTTGGGACTGCGGTTCAGCCCGAGCCAAGCAGCTGGCTCCTCTGTAATGCACCTTGAGTTCCCATATTTTTAGGGGCTTGTTTGAGAACAAGATTACATGTTCCCTGGGCATATCACATGCCAAAATATGAGAACGGCCGGGAACAAACCTCAAAAAGGCTGACAAAGCAGAGCCGGTTTATCAGCTGGGCCGAGGCTGAGTGTTTACCCTCAAATGTTTGGAAACAAGAAAACATCCTTGGCCTTTGCTGCTGCGGCGGTGGCTTCTCTCAGCACGGTTGTGCCTGCGCTTCTGTAATTTCTCATCACCGTCACCTCCGCAAACTCTAATACAGGAACAATCAAGATATTCTTGGTATTTACAAAGCCGAGAAAATTGATAAGAAGTAATTGGCTGGGTGAAAATGAGCGCCACGTGAGCTGGGTGAGCGAGACGGGGGGAGAGAAAACGCGACTGCCGAAATCCTTTTACAGAGGAGTGTTTTCAAAAGGCACGAGAAGTCATATTGATCTGTGTATGTCTTTTTAAACTGGTGCTCCGAGTCTCTTGCTGTGACTATGGCTGGCAGTCCAAAGGCAAAACCTACTTATTAAGGTTTGTTAGCGTGGACTGATA